TTCAGGTCTGGAATTGAACCCACAACTGTGGCTTCAGCCAAACAAAAGACAGGCATATGAGTTGAACATTTACCTGAGGTAGATACACACCTTGGAGAGAACAATCATGGGAGAAAGAAGGGCTGCTTATGCACAGGGAGACAGCTCAGGGGTGAATTGAGGGATGGACACAGGGAAGAGGTAACTATCAGGAGGAAGTGGGAGGGGAGCTGTTGCATTGTGGTAAATTGAAGTCAATGTCATGAGACAAAGTGTATGTCAACTTCTGTATGGAAAGTGAATTTGCTCTGTAAACTTTCACCCAAACCATAATTAAAAAAGAAGTAAATAAAGAAAGCAGAGACTCAGACTTGTACACCAGCTTTTGTATGCTTATGAGACTGCAAATACTATTGCTTGAGTCAGGTGCACCTTATACTCAAAGTGACATCTTCGTTTTTTAAAGAGATCTTTTGTAGCAGACTTGACCAGTGCAATACATCTTTGCTCTTCTGTTGTTTCCATGGGCACTGACTTTGGATCTAAGTAAAATGAAACCCCTAATAACTTCAATCTTTTCTCCAAATATCATGATGTTGCTTATTGGTCCAGTTGTGAGGATTTCTGTTTTGTTTATGTTGAAGTGTAAACCATACTGAAGGCTGTAGTCTTTGATCTTCATGATATTACCTCAAAAAAATGTTTTCCCTTAATTTCAGCATGTCTTCCATTACTGAAAACATATGCTATCAAAGCAGAAAGTAATTCTGTCATGAAAGGGTGAATTTGCTTGCTCAGGGTCACAGTGATGGCAGAGTTGGGATTTGCACTCCAGGACTCCCACATAACAGCACCCCACATGACCCTTTCAAATTAGACAGAACTTGACCAGCCTGACTCAGAAAATGGTCCCTCTCTCCCAGGTCCTCTATCATTCTGGAAAGTGTGCATTCATTCATCCACTCAACACCATTTAAATGCCTGCTATGTGCCACTCACTGTCTGGGTGAACAACTGCTCTTGTCCTCCAGTCATGATGCCACCAAAGCTGTTACTATCACTCAGAGCTGAGACTAGGGGTCATGTCAAAACTGTACATCAATTCAAAAAATCCCTGGGTGTCCCTTGTCCCAGGAAACCGGTAGAGCCCTGAGATTCATGTGCAACAGAACAAAACACTGCCCAGTCCTGAGCCATCCTCACATTCATTGCTATGTCTGAGTGAGTCCACTGTTACAGCCACTGTGTCAGTTCATCCTGTTGAGACCTTGCCAGGGGTCTCTGGCTGACAAAGTCACCATAGATACACATGGCCAGATACCTACCTGCACTACATCCCCCCATTGCCATTGGAGCATGGGGGCAGGGAGGAGCCTTGTGAGTTTAGAAATAGGGAGATCTGAAGAGTAGGAAGAGTCTGGGAGGAGTGGCTCTAAAGATAGACCCCCAGGGGACCTCTCTTCCTTTTTCCTAAAAATAATATTTATTGAACAGGAGGGTTAGGAGAGATAGGAAAGGTCATCTGGTCCTCCAGCGAGAAATGTCACCAATTACATTTATTTGGATCACAAAATTATTTCTTTAAAGAGCAAAGTAGGGCAGCCTGGAAGTAAGGCAAGAACACACACTTCAGAGCAAGACAGACTTGGGTTCCACTCAGCGTCTTAAAGGAATGCCTGAGCCTCTCTAGGTCTTGGAGTCCTCGCCTATAAAATCAGGATAATGATGGTCACCAAACAGGAATGTTGGGCTCAGACACAATACAATGTGTGTAAAGTACACGGTTGAACGTGTGTCATACCAACCAAACTCACTGCCATCGAGTCAGTTCTGACTCATAGTGACTCCTCCTTGGGTTTCCAAGGCAGCATCTCTATGGAAGTAGATTGCCTGATCTTCCTTCAGACAAGTGGCTGGTGGGTTTGAACCACCAACCTTTTGGTTAGCAGTCCAGTGCCTTAGGCACTATGCTACCAGAGCTCATGTGTCACAAAGTAGGTGCTTAATAAAGCTGGCTCTAGGTGTTGGTGCTGGTGGGAGTGGTGGAAGATAATTGCTGAATTTCATCTTTGCCAGCCCTAGGGAGGCGAGAGGAACCATTGTGAAGGTCCTAGACTCCATACCCACTACTGCTCTTGAGCCTTAAACATGTCAAGGCCTCCCACTCAGACCTTCCCTTTCCCAGAGGTCCCAGAGATTCACAGCCTCCCCATTGCTGTTGGGCTTCCTTTTGTCCCTATCTCCCCCTAGTGGTGACCTTGTTAACTGCCGTCCAGGCTGCCTGGACTTACCAGGACCTTGTGCACAAAGGAAGGAGATGTCTGATCCTGGCCGTCCCCGGGATGGGCTGCAGATCAGACCATTTTGATCCATAAGGTTTTGTTGGCTGATTTTCTTCTCTTTTCTTTTTAATTTTTATTACGATTTGGGTGGAAATTTACAGAGCAAATTCATTTTCCTGACAGCAGCAGTTCATACACATTTTGTTTCATGACATTGACTGCAATTCCCCACAATGTAACAGCTCTCTTCCCACTTCCTCCCCGCAGTTACCTCTTCCCTGTGTCACCCCCCCCCCAGCTATCTCCCTGTGCAAACACTGCCCTTCTGTTCTCCCATGAATGGTTGTTCCAAGGAGTGTATCTACCTGATGTAAACATTCACCCCATATGCCTGTCTGTAGTTTGGCTGGAAGCCACAGGAGGGAATTCAGTTCCAAACCTGAAGGGTAACTAGGGGGCCATGGTCGGGTGTCTCACCAGGCTCTATCAGACTAGTAAACCTGGTCTTTCCTTTTTTTTTTATGATTTTGAGTTTTCTTCTACATTGTTCTCCCACTCTCTCCAGGATCTCCTGCAATAATCCCTTTCCAAGTGGTTGAGAGGGGTAGCCAGGCACCATCTAGTTCTTCTGGTCTCAGGGTCACATAGGCTAAGGATTGCATGGTGGTGTCCATGGGTCTTTGGTTTTCTTCACTCTTCTTTGCTCTGGACCAGGAGAGACCCATGGTTGCATCTAGATGGCCACTTGCAAGCTTTTAAAATTCCAGTCACTACTCACAAAAGTAGGATGTGGAACAATGCTTTTGTATAGTATGTTATGCCAATTGAGCTTGATGTGTCCTGCGACCATGGTCCCGAGCCCACAGGTCCAACTATTCGCTCCCTCAGGGTGGCTGGCTGTGGCCAAGAAGCCACCACAACCTTCTCCCTGGTCAGCTCTACTATACACCTGGACATTCTTACAGCTCATACAAATATGCATGTAGAAACACTGCCAACCTTATACATGGTCACAGGCAGACTCCCCCTGCATAGACATACTTGATTGTTCAGCCTGTCCACCCGTTTATCCACCTGCAGCTCAATGTTTGCCATCACTGACAATGCAGTACTGTACATGCAGAAGGGTTCATCTTTGTTTTCTGTACCTGCTGTGTACCCGTCTTCCTCTTCCTCACACTGGCTGATTTTAAGTAAATTGCCAAGCCTTTTCTTCCTAGTCTATCTTAGTCTGGTGGCTCCAGTTAAACCTGTTCCGCATCATACTAACTCACAAGCCTCCAGTGACAGACACGTGGTACCTATGCATGACGGGCACTGCTGGTCTCCTGCTTGGAAGGCAAGGTTTCTGGCCCAGAACCACTACTGTGCTCTGCGCTGCACATTAGAGACCCTCAACAATGACTGGGTGAATGAATAAGTGAATTGTAAGTGCCCACCCCCTCCTGCTGGATACCGTAGAGTACTCTCAATAATCCTGAGGCCGACAGCCATTAGGAAAGTTGCCAGAGGACAGCATCCTTTAAGTGGTGGAACTGGAACTGGGAGCCAGCTCGGCCTGACTCCAAAGCCTGTCTTGCCAAAGACTCCGTTCCTTGGCTCACTCTGAGTGGGTCCTGGGCACTGGGGGAGGGTGGGGAGGCTCAAGGATTCCGTGAACAAAGGGCCCCTACACATAAACCTAGTGGGAAGAAGGAATAAGCCAATGAATAATTTAAAAATAGCGTCTGCTAAGGATAAAACCAAAACCCATGGCCAGCAAGTCGATTCTGATTCATAGCGACCCTATGGGACAGAGTAGAACTGCCCATAGGGTTTCCACTACTGTAATCTTTACGGAAGCCGACTGCTACATCATTTTCCCGCGGTGTGGCTGGCGGGTTCCAACCGCCGACCTTTCTGCTGGCCGAGCGCTTAATCGCTACACCACCAGGGCTGCTTCTGCAAAGGACAGACGCCCTTAAACTCCCTTTAATGCTGAGAGGGTCAAGAGCCGTAATGGCGGTGAGCAGACATTTTGATGGGGGAGGAGGAGCAGAGGGAACGTGGGCGGTGGCTTGAAGGAAGAGGTGACATTTGCCAGGAGCCCAGAGGCCTGAGAAGAGGGAACAGCATAAGGCATGATCTGAGAAAACAGATTTTGGGAAGAGTTCTGAAAACCACGAAAGAGAAAATTAGTGTTAGAATTCCTTCAGCATTCCCATGGTCCCTGACAGGCCTCGGGAACAGGCAGCAGGCTGGGGGATTACTCGGCGGCGCAGCAATCTTGTTGGAGGGCTCCAGTGCCCCTTGCGCGCTCCCTCGGTGCCCATTTACAGACCCACTGCAGGTGACCACAGGAGCTCTAGTAGCATAGTGCCTAAGGCACTTGACTGCTAACCAGAAGGCTGGCGGTTCAAACCCACCAACCACTCCTCGGAAGGAAGGTTGGGCAATCCTACTTCCGTAGTGATACTGCCTCGGAAACCCAAGGAGGGGTCGCTATGAGTCGGGCCGACTCCACGGCAAATAACAAGAAGAAGAAGCAGGTGACCACAATCTGCACAGCCTCCCTCAGGGGCTGGGCCTGAACGACTTTTGTAGGCACGTCCCTAGGTGACGTCAGTCACGCACATGGGCGGGGCTCAGGGCTGTGGGGAGGAACGACAAAAGGGGGCGTGGCTTTACGAGGCTCCCGCCTCGCCCCTAGAGGGAGACCGCCGAGAGCAGACCGGAAGTCCTTCCGCCTCCGGACGCCTCTTTGCTCCCTTCAGTCCCGCCCCTCATATACCTGCGCAAGGTCGTGTCCCGGAAGTGAAGGGGCCATGTTAGTGGGTGACCCCGGGAGAAGTACCGGGCGAGAGGCGAGTCCTGCGGAGTGGTAGCGCGCGCGGTCAGCGGGTGAGTGAGGGGAGGAATGAGGGCTAGCGGCGGCGGCCATGCGGCCAGAAGCTAGCCGCGCCTCCTCTCAGGGTTGCCGCCGACGCTCTCATCCAGCCAGGCCCCGGGACCTCGGCCTGGTCGCTGGTGTGTGTTGGGGGGTGTCTCACCCCAGCCCGCCTTCGGCTTTCCCCAGGGAGTCGCCTTCTTGTTTCCACTCACCGCCCCAGCCTCTCAGGGTTCTCGCATCCTGGCTCGGCCGACCTAAGTGTCGGGGAAGGAACTAGGCTGGCGGTGCTCAGCCGCCTGCTGGGGTAGGAGTAACAGCCCTCGTCGTGGCAGTCGTCTTGTACCTCATAAAGCACTTTTCCTGTTACATGGGAGCCCATTAGGGCCCAGCGGAAATCTTTTACAGTTGGGGAAAAAGGGAGAGGACCAGTGTCTTGGTCAGACTCGCTCCGGAAGTTAGTAAGGCTGAGGCTAATGGCTGGCTGCCTGGTTTGGGGCCCAAAGTCCATATCGTCTTTCCGGTCGAATACCTGCCCGTCTCGGTCTCATTTCTTAATTTCTGAAAGGGGTAGTCATTTCGCCACCTAAGGGCGTTATGAGGATACCCTCTCTCATTCAGCGTATTTTTTGAGCCCCTGGTATGTTGGCCTGGGAAAGTTTGTTGAGCGCCCCGAAGTGCTGTGCGCACGGTCAGGCCCCAGGAGACGAAAGCTGGCATTGCAGAGAGTTGGGGTCAGGAGTGTACTCTCCATTTTACTGCTGTGCGCAAGTTACTGTCCCCTGGGAGCATCCATTTGTTCCACTTAAAAGGGATAAGGACGACATCGGGGTTGTTGGTAGGGTGAGATGAATTTGTACTTGGGAGGTGCGTGGCACATGCGTGGTAGACAGTAAGCGCTCAGTACTATTAGGAACCCGGACCTGACCACCTCTTGGCTTCTTGGTTTCAATGTGATGATGGATGACAAAGCACTTTACAAGTGACAGCTCTCTGTTTATTGTGAAGGAAGGTAGTGACATTTTATGTATTACTAAATCTAATACTTATTGACTACTTGTAGGTCAGGCCCTTCTGACTTTGACCCTAGACTTCTGTTTCTTCCCCTGGTTTACAGGGTGACGCCCAGCCCCTGCCAGTCCCATGGCCCCGTGGAGCCGAGCGGCGGTGCTAAGTCTCTACCGGACTTTGCTGCGCCAGGGCCGACAGCTTCGCTACACTGATCGAGACTTCTACTTTGCCTCTATCCGCCAGGAGTTCCGGAAGAATCAGAAGCTAGAGGATCCGGCGGCCCGGGAGAGGCAGCTGGAGAAGGGCCTGTTCTTCCTTCACAGCAAACTGGGGGGGATTATTTAGGATCCTCTTCTTTCCCCTCCTACACCAGTTCCAAGGAAAAGAGGACAGAGGTGCCTTCTGTGGACTCTCCAGCTCCTTGCCACCCCCGTGTGGCAGATGCATTAACAGGCCTCAGGTAGGTAGGCCCTTGCTCCGCAGGCTTCATTTTTTCTGATGCAGAGGACCAGAAGAGGGAGAGCCTTCCCTTTGAGTGACTTTCCTTTGTTGTTGTTGTTATGTGCCCTTGAGTTGTCTCTGACTCACAGCAACCCCTCCTTGGGTTTCCGAGGTGGTATCCCTACGAAGTAGATTGCCCAACCTTCATGGCTGCTGGGTTTGAACCACCAGCCTTCTGGTTAGCAGTCAGGTGCCTTAGGCACTGTGCCACCAGAGCTCCTTGACTTTCGTTTAGTCATTAGTAATCTGTGAAAAAATGCAGGACGTATTTAACAGGAGCATGTTCTCGTGTTGAGGGAAAAAAGGCCCCGAGTTTCAAGTCTCTCTAGAACGGAATTGCTAACAGTTTTATTTTGTAGAACATTTTACCTATGAGAATGTTAGCAAAGACATTGGTTCAAACCATGGAGCCAGCTACAATCCATTCTTCGGTGGATTCGTTATCTCGTGAATCAGATCATGACCCCCTAGACGTAACTGTTCTGTGATAGCACTGTGTAGAGAGCAAGTGTGACGTGCAGACTCTGGAGGTACAGGGCCTTTGTTCAGATCCTGGCACTGCTACTGGTGGCTGTGGGATATAGGGCAAGGCACTTACCTTTCCAGGCTTCTGTTTCCTCATCTGTGGGACGGAGGCAGCAGCCCCTGTCTTTTAAGGCTATTACGAGAATTCAGTGACACCATACGTGTACAGCACTTGCCAAGTGGGGCATTAGCTCTGTTTACTCTTGATGCCACTGTCATCAAGAAGTTCCATTGGAACATGGTTCTGTTTAAATCAGTGCCTGCTCTGAGAAGTCCTTCTATGCATTTGGCTGTTCTGCTGGGCTCTGGACTTAGAGATGAATGATAAGGCCTGTCAAGGAACTTGGTCTCCTGGAATCAATGGAAGACATTCCTGTGTGATGGGCTTGATACTGGAGCATCAGGTGAAGACGGGAAGTGGGGATGAGGACGGAATTCTGCCTTGGGCAGGGTGGTGGAGAGAACTATAAAGTGGACATTGGCGGTTGGTCTTGAATGAGACACGCTTGCCAGGCAGAGGGACCAAAATAAACAAATGCCTGGAGGTGCACGATGCATTTTGTAGTCTGGAAACTCGAGGCTGATGTGGCTGGAATGGCACACCTGTCAGGCAAGTGGCAGGGGTTGAGACTGAGGCCAGTTTGAGGACACTGAGTCCTCTGTTAAGGCACCTGTGATATCTGACAGTGGGGGGACATCCGAGCCCTTACGCAGGTAGTCACGTGGCCACGTTTGTTTCAGAGGGATTATGCTGGCGGCACTGGGGAGGGGAGACGGTGAGAGATGCTAGAGGCAGTAGGTCTGGCAAAGTGAGGTGGAGACTCAGGTTGTGGAGGTGGCCACGTTCTAATGGGACTTGGTGACCAGGTGGCCAAGGCTGGAGAAGCAGAGAGAAGGATGGAGGATAATTGTGAGGCGTGTGGGCTCCCTGCTGGATGCAGGGTGCTGTTGTTACCTGGGAGGGAAGGCAGGAGGAGGAGCCTTGTGGAACGCTTCTGGGCCTCAGCACTTAGTTTCCTGGCAGACTCACCCTCGCTGATGCAGAGCCAAGGGTGGGCTGGGAGCCTGCACAGGGATGGGGAGAGGATTGGAAGGGAAATGGTGATCACTGCAGCTATCTTATTCCTGATTTAACTGACCAGGACATATGTTACCCCACTACACTGTCAAAACAGACCTTGCAGGGGTTAGGGGTTGTAGCATAATATAGCAGTTAGTAGCTGTAGGGTTGACAGCTCATTTATGTGGCAGATATTTACTGTGAGTCCAGCACTGCTCACCCTGGAGATGGAGCAGTGAGAGAGACACGGTGCTCTCTAGAAGCTATAGTCCTGGGGGTAATAGGAGATGTGAACAAGGTGGGGTTGCAGTTACTTGAGACCCTTTTAAACTAGTTCTCCCCAGCAGCGTGAGATCTGGGTTCAAATCCCAGCTGTACAACTTCCTGACATGGTGACCTTAGGCCAGTTACTTCATGTGTAGATTGGAGATGATAGTATTAATTGGCCTCGTGGGATTGCATAAGGATAAGGAAAGTAATACATGGAAAACGGCCAGCACGTGGCATACACTCCATTCATAGTTGCAGTTCTTAATGTGTACTCAAGCCAGACACAATGATTTTAAGTCATGTGACTATTTCAAGTAAAATTCCTGGGTAAGTTGGAATTTTTATAGTTTAGTGCTATCTTCCTAGGAAGCTTCAAGGCCTCCATTCCTCAACATCTCCACTCTTGAGGGGATGAGTACTTCTACCCATGGTTTTGTACCTAGGGAGACAAGCTGTTGTTGTTGTTTGCTGTCAAATCAGACCTGACTCATAGTGACCCCTCCTTGGATTTCCGAGGCGTTATCCCTACGGAAGTAGATTGCCCAACCTTCCTTCTGAAGAGTGGCTGGTGGGTTTGAACCACCAGCCTTCTGGTTAGCAGTCAAGTGCCTTGGGCACTATGCTACCAGAGCTCCTTGGGAGATAAGCTAGTTGTTATTATTTTATTTTTATTATGATTTGGGTGATAGTTTACAGAGCAAATTCATTTTCCATATAGCAGTTCATACACATTTTGTCTCATGGCATTTATTGCCATTCTTTGTAGTTAATGAACAGTTCTCTTCCCACTTCCTCCCCATAGTTAGCTCTTCCCTGTGCCTACCCTCCCATCCACTCTGGCCCCCCAAGCTGTGTTCCTATGCAAACACTGCCCTTCTGTTCTCCCATGACTGATCTCTTCTAGGAGTATATCTACCTGATGTAAATGTTCATCCCGTATGCCTGTCTGTTGTTTGGCTGGTTGCCATAGTAGTGAGTTCAGTTCCAGACTTGAACGGTAACTAAGGGCCATAGTCTTGGGGGTCACACCAGGCTCTATTAGACTAATAAACTTGGTCTTTTTTATGATTTTGAGTTTTGTTCCACATTGTTCCCCCACTCTATCTGGGATCTCCCACACTGATCCCTTTCTGAGTGGTTGATAGGGATGGCTAGGCACTATCTAGTTCTTTGGTCTAGTGGTCACAGAGGCTGAGTAAGAATTGATAGTTTGCTGGTCCCTTGGACTAATTGTTTCCATGTGTCTTTAATTTTCTTCATTCTTCTTTGCTCTGGATGAGGAGAGACCCATGGTTGCATCTAGGTGGCCACTTGCAAGCTTTTAAGATCCCATTCACTACTAAAGTAGGATGTAGAACAGTGTTTTCGTGTACTACATTATGCCAGTTGAGCTTGAGGTCCCCTGCGACCATGATCTCAAGCCCACAGGTCCACCTACTCGCTCCCTCAGGGTAGCTGGCTGTGGCCAAGAAGCCACCACGACCTTGTTCCTTGTTGGCTCTAGTATACACCGTTCTCACAGCACATAGAAATACGCATGTAGAAACCATCTGTTAACCCTGTACATGGTCAAGGGCACACTTCCGTTGCACAGACATACCTGATCAGTCCGCTGAAACAAGCTAATGAACTTGCCTGAAACGTTGGTGGAGCTCAGCCTCTGTATCCCCGGCCCTGTCCACCAGGCAGTGTTGCTGCTGGATTGCACCAAGGAGTTGGCCCTCTTTCCTCGCCACCTGGAGTTCCTGCATCTTGGGGGGCCTCCAGGGTAGGACAATAGAACCTGCACGGAGGGTGGATGGTAGAAGAACAGAACGGGGACTCGTCTCTCTCTGCTGGAGCATGTTGATGCTTTCCAGGGCTTCTAGCCGGTTCCAGTCATGGCCAGCAAAGCAAAACTGGAAGAGACCCCCCTCTCCTCGTCAAGAAGAAAGAAGAAAACCAAAATTAAGGGAAACAATCAGTCCTAGCGACTGGTACACCATC